ACAGCTAGCCCAACAGAGACACACACAAAAGATGGGAAAGGTACTGTCTGTTCTGCCCCAGGTAATTCACTAAGCAAGGGCCAAGTGTATATCAGTTTCACATTGTGGGGACATTTATATGACCTTGAGGTGCCATTAACTATTCATTTATTTATTTATTTGAAAGAGTTACACAGAGAGAGAGAGAGAGAGGTCTTCCATATGCTGATTCACTCCCAGATTGGCCACCACAGCTAGAGCTGCGCCAATCCCACGTCTCCCACGTGGGTCCAGGGGCCAAGGACTTGGGCCATCTTCCACTGCTTTCCCAGGCCATAGCAGAAAGCTGGATAGGAAGTGGAGCAGCTGGGACTCACATCAGGACCAATATAGGATGCCAGCACTGTAGGCAGCAGCTTTACCCACTACGCCAGAGCGCCAGCCCCAAGGTGCCATTAATTTTGAACTCCAGACCCCTCTGAGGCCCTAAGGAGATGACTTTTTTTTTTTTTTTTAACCAAGAGCATTGGTATGGAAGAGCTTTCTGAGTGCTGTCCTGCCTCAGTGGCTAAACTTTGTCCCACTGAATCCTTTAAGCCAAAGTCCTCTCTCTACAGGATTGTGGAAACACACTACCATGGTCTCACCTCTTCTGGCCCCCAGTGGTTTCCTTTAAAGACCCCACACATCAGTTACCTCCTCAAAAGTATGAGCATTTATCATAACAGATTCACTTTTTTTTTGGACAGGTAGAGTTATAGACAGAGAGAGAGACAGAGAGAAAGGTCTTCCTTCTGTTGGTTCGCCCCTCAAATGGATCCGAAGCCAGGAGCCAGGTGCTTCCTCCTGGTCTCCCATGTGGGTGCAGGGGCCCAAGCACTTGGGCCATCCTCCACTGCATTCCCGGGACACAGCAGAGAGCAGGACTGGAAGAGGAACAACTGGGACTAGAACCGGCGCCCATATGGGATGTCAGCGCCCCAGGCAGAGGACTAACCAAGTGAGCCATGGTGCCGGCCCCAACAGACCCACCTCTGAGTGATTTGGAGGCACTTGAGGCTATCTTAGCTTGCTGTATACTAGTTCTCATCAAATGTTTTTGGACAGGGCTTATTATTTTTTAGACTCCATTTTAGAAAAATTTAATAAGACAACAACAACAAAAAAGATGCCTTTTCAGGCATTAATTATTTTAATCTTATTGAACAAGAAAGCAGGCCTTCTCTCTTTACTGACTCATTTGAATTACAAAAGTAAAACATTCTCATTATAGTAATTCACACAATACAAAATCATGAAAAATGAAATTATTACTTTTTTCTTCCCCTTCTTCCAAACAGAACACTGCTAACAATCTGGTATACATTCCTCCATATTATCATATTTAAATATATCTGAGCATACAGTTGAAAATGTAAAATAATAATAATCATTATTCTATAACTTTTTTGTCTCTTAACAGTATGTATCCTGGGGCTGGTACTGTGCCGTAGTGGGTAAAGCCACTGACTGCAGTGCCAGCAGCCCATGTGGGCGCTGGTTTGAGTTCTGGCTGCTCCGCTTCTGATCCAGCTCTCTGCTATGGCCTGAGAAGGTAGAAGAAGATGGCCCAAGCCATTGAGCCTCTGTACTGGCGTGGGAGACCTGAAAGAAGCTCCTGGCTCTTGGCTTCAGATCACCTGAGCTCTGGCTGTTGCGGCCATCTGGGGTATGAACCAGCAGATGGAAGACCTCTCTTTCTCTGCCTCTGCCTCTCTCTCTCTCTGTAACTCTGCCTTTCAAATAAATAAATAAATAAATAAATAAATCTTTAAAAAAAAAGTATATATCCTATAAATATCCCTTTTGGTTACTTTAACTTAAAAGAAAGACAATTCATTAACTTGCTACACAAATGAGAGGTGAAATTAACAAGCCATGTGACTTCACCCTCCCCTGTACTAGATTCCACACCATAGGATGTGTCTCTCTCAGGTCTTCTCTAAGAACAACTTGACCAAGACTATGCTTAGCCGGATCCTGTAACACAATCCACTATATTTATCATGAGAACTTATTTTTTTCTAAATTGTGATTAGCTTATATAGTTATCTGAGAAAGTTTAAATAATTCTCAAAGTAGTTCATTATACTTTCCACAGTTTTTGCTTAGTCAACAAGATACTAATTTCCCATATAGCACATCCATATCAAATGTCTTTATCTCTAGTGCTTTGGTAAGTGGCTGTCACATGGAAAGAACTCAAATCTGTATTGAATATGGGAATAAAACAGTAAAGGGGTGGCTGGCGTTGTGGTACAGCAGGTTAAGCAGGTGCTTGTGACACTGGCATCTCGTACTGGAGCGGGTTCGAGTCCCAGATGCTCCACTTGCAATCCAGTGCTTGCTAACGCACTTAAGAAAGTAGTGGATGACGGCCCAAGTGCCGAGGGCCTGCCACCCGGATGGAGTTCTGGGTTCCTGGCTTAAACCAGGCCCATCCTGAGTTGCCGCAGCCACTGGGAGAGTGAACCAGAAGAAAGAAGATCTCTCTCTCTCTGCCTCTCCCTATCTCTCTCTCTATTACTCTGCATTTCAAATCAGCAACTCTAACTGAAAGCAGTAAAGTGGAGAGGCAGGCATTTGGTACAGTGGTTAAGCTGCTTGCCTATTTTTTTTTAAAGATTCATTTATTTGAAAATAAAATCAGAATGAGAGAGAGAGAGAGGGAAAGACACGGAGGGATCTTCCGTCCACCGCTTCACTCCCCAAATGGCAGCAATAGCCAGTGCTGAGCTCGGCTGACGTCAGAAGCCACAGCTGCTTCTGGGTCTCCCAAACACTTGGGCCATCTTCCACTGCTTTTCCCAGGCCAAGAGCAGGGAGCTGCATTGGAAGTGGAGCGGCTGGGACACGAACAGACACCCACACGGGATGCTGGTGTTGCAGGCGGTAGCTTTGCCCGCGACACCCAGACACCAGCCCCAGGCTGCTCGCCTCAGCGCCGCACAGCTTTAAGCACCATCTCATGCTGGTGACTTTCAGATCACCTTTCCCAGCCCTGCCTTATCCCCAAAACTCCAGACTAATGGAACCTCTGCTTGGATATTAAGACAACACAGATCGTATTTCTCCATAAACCTGCCTCCCTCACCCACCGGTTTTCTCCACCCCAGGAAGCTGCCCTACCCTCCACACAATCACTGCGGCCAGGACCGCAGGTGCCAGTCTTGATTCCTTTTTCTTTCACCCCACACATCTAACCTGCCTTGACGTCCTGTTGGTTCTACTTACAACACCTGCCCTCAGAGCACCTGCTCTCCACTTACACGACCACTGAGCTTCCCCAGACTGGTGTATCTCCGGCTTGGATTACGCAAGAATTTCAAAGACATCTCCCAGCTTCCGCTGCTGGCTTGTACAATCAGTCTGTGACACAGTAGCAGGGTGATCTTCTAAAATCACAAGTCAGGCACATAACTCCACAGCCTAAAACCTTTTCCTAGTGCACCTAGTATTAAAAGCTTACCATTACACTTGGTCGAAAACCCAAGTCACTTATCTTTGCTTGAAACTTCTCATGAAACCTGCCCCCAGCCCATTTCTGATTCACCTTGTACCCCAGCCACCTCCATCCGTCCCAAAAGGATCGTACAGGACCTCTGTGCCCCGAATGCTCCCACCCCGAGTATCGGCATATTGGGTTGTTTCTCATTGTTTAAGGATTAGTTTTCTGAGTTTTTTTTTTTTTTTTTTAAATGTCATCTCCTCAGAAAAGGCTTCCTAAAGCAATCAATCACAATGTTTACCGACGCAATATATGTATATTTTTACCCTTTGACCCAGTAATCAACATATGGGAATCCACCCTAAAGAAACCCTGGCAAGGATAAGAAAGAGACAAACAGATGTTATATGCTTCCTGTTGGAAGAATACAATACCACTGATGAAACAGTTTTGAACTATAAACACACATGCACGAACATACACCACCCCCTTGATGGCATCAGCCTTCCCTGATCCAACTACACAGCCAACAAAGTCTAAAATGGGAACTAGCCAGGATAAGTGAGCTGTTTTCTATAACAAAATAAATTACAAGCTGGGAGGACCACACACGAAGGAGGAATTGATATATTAGAGGAAATATGAAGGAGAAATAATACAAGTTCAGTGTTTGCTCCTAGTTTAGATTCTGACTCAAAAATAGTTTAAATGAAGAGAAATACTTGGTAAAATGTGAAACCTCTATGTTCCAATGATTAAATGCTTTAGGCACGAGCCTGGTACTCTAGAGAACAGTTTAAAATGAGTGTGTACTTTTAGGTTTACACGGGAATATTTGTGGGTGAATCACTTAACGTTGGAGATTTGCTTCATGGTTACGAGCCAAGAAAATGGGTATATGGATATTACTGAAACAACACTGGACACGTGTTGGTAATTTTTGAAGGTGAGTGACAGATGGAGGTGCAGAAGCCAGTCTCAACCTCAGTATATGTTTTAAATTTTCCATCATAGAAGTTTAAAAGACACAAATTATTCATAATACTTTAAAACATTTATCAACATATTAATGTTCCTATATAGTTTTCCCAAAAGATGTACTTATTTGAGACCCAGAGTGACGATGGTGGGGGAAGGGGGAGAGAGGGAGAGAGGGAGAAAGTGGAGGGGAGAGAGGAAGAGGGAGAGAGAGAGAGACTTTCTATACTCTGGTTCACATCTCAAATACCTGTAACAGCCAGGGGTAGCAGGGGTAGGCCAGGTTAAAGCCAGGAGCAAGGAATTCAATCCAGGCCTCCCATGTAGGTGGCAGAAACCCAAATACTTGGGTCATCATCTGCTGCCTCCCAAGTGCATTAGCAGGGATCTGGGAAGCTGGATTGGAAGCGGAGGCAGGACTCCATCCCAGGAACTCTGATAGGGGATTTGGGCATCCCAAGTGGCAGTTTAATTCTCTATGACACAAAGCCCACCCCACTATACAGTTCTTAGTCACTCATTTTGCATTGCTGTCTACCTCCCAATAAAACATTACCTTCACTTCGATGAAGTCAGGATTCCCCAGGCTCACGAGCTCAGCATAGGCCTGCAGTTCATCCAGATTCCAGGCTTTGACCAGCGTCAGTCTGTACACAGTCCGTTGTTGCTGAAATGAAAGAAAACCCAACTTTGTTTTTGTCTTGGAGAAAGTCACCTATTAACATCTTCAGCGGATGCTCAGGCATTGTCAACCCACAGAGAACCCACAGTTGAACCCACCATGAATATCCACAAATTGAAGTTTAACTTTGGAGAGAGGTGAAAGTGTACCAACAATGCAGTAAGACTCCTGAAGGCACAGATAGTGACCTATTTCTCTTCTCTACCTGGTATCATCCAACACTGTTAGGCACCCACAGGTTCCTGATAGACTCACAATGAACTCAATTTCGGAAGGAACTGTGAATCGGCTGAAGAGTTTTAGGCTATGGAAAATATTTCAGGTAAGCTTTAGGCTTTCAGGTAATGACATTCTACTTGGTAATGACAAGAATTATTAATTACTCTCATCTTCTCTTTCTCATTATTTAATGATCTCCTGGCATTTCTTGATGGCAAAAAAGTCACAGTTAGGGGCTGTCAATGTTGCCATTAATTTACTATATATCAAGAAGCACTGGCTTTCTGAAAAGCAATTAGTCAATCATCGTGAAAGCCTTGGATTGCTTGTGCACTTTGGCTTTGTATGTAGCTCACGTCTAGGACCCAAAACAAATGATTGAACACTCAAAGACTTATTGAAAAATCTCAGAAAAACATTATTAACAACAAAGCATTATTAATCATAAAATCCAAAGTACTCAGCTCCCCTTAAGTGGGGACAGGGTCTGTGACTTGCCTGTAACCAGCAGAACATGGATAAGACAATGAGACACAGGTGGCTACCTATGTGTATTCAATGACACACGATGTCTCTGTACCAAGTTCCCAGTAGTGCCCAAGCTGCCACCACTCAAACCACTTACAAAGCAAGGCTCACAACGTGACGCAAGATGTGAACAAAATCATGTCAGTTTCTTTACTGTTTATACCGGAAAACTTCCATAATTAATAAAATGAAGGAATATTGAGATCATTAATGAAGAAAAGGTAAGAGATGTTGAGTGAAGAGTATTATGCAGCCCCACTGGAAAATGGTGCTTTCCAAGCCTACTTGCTCAGAAACTGTGTACTCAAAGTCTCTTTAAAAATACAGGATGGGGGTGGGCATGGGGGCACGGCTGGTGAAGCTGCTGCTTGGGACACTCGCATCTCATATCAGAGTGAATGCCTCTGCTTCCAACCCAGCTGATTGCTAACGTTCACCCTGGGAGGCAGTAGATGACAAAGACTCAAGTACTTGGGTTCCTGCCACTCAAGAGGGGAGACCTGAATGGAATTCCAGGCTTCTGGCTTTGGCCCAACCAGGCTCTTGTGGGCATTTGGGAATGAATCAGCAGATGGAAGTGTCCTCCCCCACCCCATTCTCTTTCTCTCTTTCTTTCTTTCTCTGTTGTTCTATCTTTCAAATGAATAAGTAAATATAAATAAATGCCCAACTTAGGCCTTGAATTACAAATATTTTTAAAAAGATTTCAAATGCAGTATATAATGCAAGGAAATACAGAACTTCTCCAATGCCCAAGCCTAACAAAAACAGCAGAAAACTGCAGACTAGTATCACTTGTACTTAAACAGTAAAAAATCTTATAGCAATTTTAGTAAGTAAGTTTCCGCACTGGGTTAAAAATTCTAGAAGGCAAAAATGATTCAGAATTAGGCTGTCTAGTAATACAATGCATCACAGGAATAGCTCAACACAGAAAAACCATCTAATCATCATAAATACTTACAGGCATCTGCCTTAATTTAAATCATCCCTGTTTTAATTCAAAAGTTCAAATACACATTCTCAGTGTAAAGGAAAACACTCTCCAATCAATAGTCAATGTCATACTTAGCAGTTAAAAAATTAGAAACAGTCCCACTTAGACAAACAGAAGAACATCCACTCTTTTTCCCTTCCTTCTTCTTCTTCTTTTTTTTTTTTTTTAACACTTTCCTACAAGCTGTTAACAAAGGTATTATGCCAGAACAAGAATTACTGGAGCAGACAATAAATAACTTATGATAAATAACATAACTGGCTTCTTGGACATCCAAGAGATTCAAATACTACAAAAAGTCAATTAAAGCAAAGTGGCCAGATTAACAACATTCCTAACGTGGAGTGGGGGGTTACACGCAAACTTTGGGGGCTAGATTGAACCTAAGAACCTGTACCTCTCTGTTCTGCATTTCCACCAGTATAAAACCCATCTTACATAGGATTAAAAGTGATACGTAGCTATGAGAATGAAGTCTGGCAGCAGTTAAGTCATACAAAGTATTAGCTATTATACACCAGCAACGATGATTACAAAATACAAGGCAAAGAAAATTCTACTTATAAAATACATCTAGAAAATATCTAGTGATTACTTTATAAAAGAACATGCAGGTTGGTGAATAAAATACACCTTTCTGAGAGACCAAGACAAAAACTTGTCTATGTGGAGAGCAATGATGGATTTAGAAATATAACGGGATTGCAAGGAACAATAAAGACAATAGCAGGAGTTAGCAGTTAGTTAGCACTTACTAGGTGCCAGTTGTTGTTATACAGTGCTCTGTATCTTAGCAAAGATTCTAATGTTTGTCTAATCTTTATAACAAATCTTACAAAATAGATTGGAATGTCATCTGCATATACAGATAAGAAAGGCCAGGAGTCGTTAAGTAACTTGCCCAGAGTTACACAGCTGGAAAGCATCAATGCAGGAGTGCCAACCCAAGCAGTATCTATCTATCTATCTATCTATCTATCTATCTATCTATCTATCTATCTATCTCCATCCATAGATCCTCTCCATGATCAGGAGTAAGAATCCAGGGAGGGCTCGCTCTCATTTCCCCAAGCCTTTAACAGTCATGACGTAAAGCACACGAAGAGAAATGTGCACAAAACATGAATGGATAGTTCATAAATACCCGCCACCCAGATGTCCTCCTGCTTATTCCACTCTCTACTCCTACCTAAAGACACCTAATATCCCAACTTACACATGGGAGTTTGTTCTTTTGCCTGTGTTTAAAATTTATACAGATGGAATAGCCACTTATTTTGGTTAGGCTTCTACCATCAACATCGTGTTTGTAAAACTCACCCATGTTACATATGTTACTCATGTATGTAGGCATTTGTTTATATTCTTTTGTTATCTAGTATTTCCTGGCATGAATATATAACAATTTACTCAACTACTGCCTGTTGGTAGACATCTGTATTACCTCTAGGGTTTAGCTATTAAAAAAAAATAAAAAATCTCACAAAACTGCTGTTAATAACATTAGTTTAGTTCTGCTTGTTAAAAGACATCACATGAAATGCTATTGTGACATATATTCTTTTGTGTCTGACTGCTTCCAATGAATCTGATGTTTGTGGGAGTCAGTTAGGGCTGTTCTGTGTAGCTGTAAATACATTTTTATTGCCACTTAGTACTCCATTGTGCGAATATAATGATAGTGAAGGACTCTTTGGCCCCCCAACCCCTGCCTCACTTTGCATCCCTTACAAAATGACACTGCTGTATGTGTTACTGCACTACTGTCCGGATGCACAAGTGCACATGTTTTCTAAATATACCTAAGTATGGACACACTGCCTCCCAGGATGCACATGTGTTTGTGGTCAACTTTACCAGAAGTTGCAAACTGATTTCAGAAGTGGCTTTTTTATCCTCCTACCTGCAGTGTATCAGAGTCCTGTTTCTCGTCTTCAACAACACTTAGCGTTGTTAGTCTTTTGCATTTTAGCCACTCTTACACTGTTTTGTTTTCCAGTTACTTGATGACTAATGAAGCTGAGTATGTCTCCAAGTTATTTAGATCACTATATGTGCAAAGTGCTTGTTCAAGTATCTTGAATATTTTTCTAGTGGAATATTTGTCTTTTTCCTACTGATTCTTTTCAAATTCTTATTATTTTCTGGATAGAACAGTTCTGTTATAAATACATTGGAAATATTTTCATCTACTTGGACTTTAATTTTCTCTTCACGACTTCTAATCAACAGATATTCTTGCTTTTAGTATATTCCACTTTATCATTCTTCTCTTTCAAGATTAGGGCTTCCTGTGTCATTTTAAAGAACCTATCCATATATCAGGAGTACAAAGATAATCCCTTATCTAGCTTTTTTCCAGGAGCTTTATAATTTTGTGTTTTACAAGTATGCTTGAAATCCACCAAAGCTGACTTCTGTGTGTGGTACTAATGGGTCAAGTGTATTTTCCACATGGATATTCAATTGTAATAAGTATAATAAAAAGAGTGTGTATGCATGTGAGGATCTACTTTTTTCCTCCCTATGCTGTTCCACTAATCTAATTCTTTATCCTTGTCCCAGAATTACACTGTTTTAAACACCTTGCTTTAGAATGAGGTGTGATATCCAACAGAGCTAATGATTCTCAACTAGATGCAACTTTGCACCATAGGAGACATATCTTGAGAAAATTTTTTTTTGGTTTTCACAACTGGAGACTGCTATTGACATCCAGTGGGTGGGCCAAGACCACTGACCAACATCCCACAACGCACAGGACAGTCCTCCCCTCCTTTCCCAACAGAATTATCTGGTCCAAGAGGTCAATGGTGCTGAAGTTGAGAAATCCTATGAGAGGAAGTCCTATTATCCTTCTTCAAGACATTTTTGGCTATTCTTGGTCCTTTGCATGTCCATAACCATTTTATAATCGGCTCACTAACTTCCACAAATAAACACAATCCTTTGTGATTTTGACTTAAAGTGGCACTGAATCTATAATCTGGTATTGTCCTACAGAAATATAATGTGAGTCACAAACGTGAGCCACACAGGTGATTTAAAAATTTTCTAGTGGTCAGATTGAAAAAGTAAAACGTTAGGACTTGGTGCTGTGGCGTAGTAGGTCAGGCCTCCGCCTGCAGTGCCAGCATCCCATGAGGGCACCGGTTCACATGTGCTGGCTGCTCCTCTTCTGATCCAACTCCCTGCTTATGGCGTGGGAAAGTAGTGGGAGATGGCCCAAGTTCTTGGGCCT